AAGATTTATAATGCCTGAATTAAGCAGTTTTAAACAGGATTATGAAAAGTATAGAGATGATTTTATAGTATATATCCATTTAGCAGGTCTAAATAATGAAATAAGAATTCACAATATACTGGATCGATCTGTAAAAGAAGAAGTGCGAAAATAGTACAAAAGAGAGTTTGATAATAAAAACTGAGAGTTATAAAATGTATTTGATAATTCAGCTATAGGTATCACTATAGCTCATATTCGTAGTGTTAATGCAAAGGCTATAACAGGAGCTGTCACATCTTTTCCAAATATTCCATTAAGTCTTGCAGGTATAGATATTATTTCAGTTTGAGGACTTGATGAAAATTGGAGAATAGCTGGAGGACGATCAACCAATGTGATATTAGTTACATCAAATGCTAAAGAAGGTATTTCTATTATTCTTGCAGGAATCCAAGGTTAAATTATATTAAAAATCATTTTCCATCTGCCGATAGATATTTGAGAATGCTTGAAATTGGAACATTAAAACAAAGAACACATGAAAGTGTAACATCTTTCTGTGCAAAAATTCAAAAGTATGGAAATCAATTGGATTATACTTCTATGTAAAAGAAAACATATTTTATGTCTGAAGTAAGAAATATTATATTAAATGACATCATTATGATTAGTCATCACAAACTTATTAATGATATTCTCGATAGTTTAGAAGAAATGGAATTACGTCGTGAAATATTAGGATTATTACACATCATATTCTAGCTATTTATCAGCCCCTCCTACCATTCCTAATATCACATCTTAACAGCAAGAAATTTCTTTAGAAGATATATAAAAAGCAATTCAAAACGTATTAGCTCAACAAAAAACTGAATATCAAACTTTATTAGAAAACCAGAAAGCTGAATTTCAAGCACAAATGACTCCAAAAGTACAGACATTGGTTTCACAAACTGTTGAACCTGTTAGATAACCAAGAGGTCTACTATCTACATTAAAGATAGAGGAGGTATGAAAAATTATTACGTAGCAAAATTCTTAAAAGACTTGGATATAGTTAATAAGAAAGATTTAGACTCTAATTATCCTATAAAGCCTTTTTAAAGATCTCATCCATAATGAAGTAATGTCTCTGCTAAAATTGATAGAGTAGAGGAGAGAATAGATGAAACTTATAATGCTGTAAATCAACTAATAAATCAATTCAAAAACTAAATATACGTAAATGTGATATTTGTGAAAAAACTGATCATAGTATTAACGTGCAATCCTTATGAATTACGACAATTAAACGAGGTGTTCAAGTGGTGATTCTTTTAAGTTTACGTAGTAATCTAATAGTTATCTCAGTAAGTTAATAGTTCTTTTATATACCGCAAAGTATATTCATACCTCAGTTGATTAAGTTTTATTATATATTGAAAAATATATTCAAACCTACGATGAATGTATGATTCATTCACTATATATTGCCCAATGTATTCAATACACTATTGAGTATATTTCCTTATTTTAAGTCAAAATTAAATGTAAATTACATTATAAATACAAATGTCACAAAATGTTTTAAGTAAATTGAATAAAGATTTATTGGTAAATAAATAAACTAAAAGCTAAAAATACTAAACTAAGAGAATATGAAAGAAGAATTAATCACAAAATAGAAAGAGTAGTCTTATACTACTTTATAAAAAGGGTTTGCATATGGTTATCGCTGAACTGATCAGATTGCATCTAGCAATTAATAGTTACCTTCTTGTCAAGAATTTAGTCTTCTTTATATACTTTTTTAATGTAAATCTAATATATCATATATATTAGGTATGTCTGATATATCAAATATATCAGATATGTCAAATATATCAAATATGTCTAATATATTAAATATATCAAATATGTCTGATATGTCTGACATTTAGATCTGCAACATTCTTATGTTACATAAATTAAATATATCTATTAAGTCGATTCTATTAACTACATCATTTATATAACTATTTATAATGCATTATGTAAATCAATTACGTTATGATAGTCCTATTACATTACTCACTTCTTAAGATTTTTGTTCCCACAAAAATTCTAAATTGTTTCAATTTATTTCATAAAATTACAAATTTTATCGATCAATTGTGTGATTTTTATTTCAAACAGGTTTCATTCAAAAAAAAGGTCACTCCATAATTATCAACAAATTTGAACTAATAGTCATTTGTTTATATTTCTACAGAAGAAGGATTTTCGTGATCTTGAAAAATTTTACACGCGTCTTTCATCTATAAATATCCTCTCTAAAATTATTCAAATTCTTAATTATCAAAAAATAGATAGTAATACTCTAAGAAGACTATTATATTGGATTTTTTTTATAATATAATTCTTCTTATATTACGTGATGGTAAAAATTCAAGCTTAATAATAGATGACTTTAAAAAAGATCTGATAGAGGTTTGATGTTTGAATTTTTAGATCAAAAGCTAATCAAAGAGTTAATATTAATTATTATGAAAAAGAAGAAAAGTTAATCCTTTCTAATAATTCAATATTAATAAATGATTATGATAGATATATTAGTTTATGATCTATTAATACTAAATCTAATTTTTATCTCTAAGAAGTTAAAGAAAAAACAGATAAATTAAAGCTATATTAATTTTATAAAAGTTGTTTTATTCTGCTTAACTTTTTATTATATAGCTTTTTAAACTGAAAATTGGTTTAAACGTTATCATATTAGTGAAGTACAATTAAAGAAATTGATGAAAAAAATTTGTATTATAACAGAGATTAATCTTGATAATAGGAAGATTACAAATTATGTGAGCAAAAAAACTATAGTTTAAGCATTACAACATCTTGACCAAAATACAGATTACATTAGATATCAATCTTGTCATAAATCTGACTAAAGACTTCAATCTTACATTCTTTCTCATGATCAGTAGCAACTAGATATGATGACTTTATTAACAAGTGAAATTCACAAAAAAACATGTAAATTCTTCAAATTTTTTCTATTTTTAATATTAACCAATTATTTAATATTAAAATTATTCAAATATAGCAACTGATAATATTTCTCTAATAAATTTAATAGATATAAATAAAGTACAAGTAAATAGAATATTTTTAATTGCAAAAGAATATATTATTTTATTACTCAACAAATAATTATATAAAACATTTTCTTAGTAAACTTTATTTTTTTTAGTATTTAAGCAATTCAACTGTCAAAATATTATGTCTTTAAAAGCTAATATTTCTTAAATACCTTTAAAATCTAATAATCAAATTGAAATTGAAATAAAACCCATAAAATTACAGAAATTATTAGAATTGGAAGTATTGACAAATATTAATTTGTATATAAAATTATCATAAAATGTATAATAATTATATAAAGTTAGATAGAAGTAGTATATTTAAAATTAATTGGCTTATTATTGTATAATCATATTTTTTATAGAATAATTATAATAAATATTGATACAATAAAATTAGCATAATCCTATCTGGCTGAACTATAATTTTTAATAAAAATAAATAAATAAAAAATTTATAATTTATATATTATAAAGTAATTTAAGTTTAGTCATTTAGTCAGTTATTAAAATTTATTTAAATGTTTAGATTTTAATCAAAGATTTAATTAAATATAAAATTTGATAAAAGTTTAGTCATGATAAAAATAATTTAGGTAAGTATCATCTAATTTGTTTTATTAAAAGTAATATCATTTTTTAATTTAAATTGTATTTTTAATAATAATGAAACTTTAAGATCAAATATTAAATTATATAAATCTTTATCTACTATAATCAGTTTTTTTTTTTTATATTATTCTATCAAAATCACTTTATACTAAACTATCAAAGTTTTTATAACTGATAGTAATCAAGAATACTAAAACAAAAAAAAAGTTATATATTATGAAATGTTTTAATAAAATTTGCATATTTAATTCAATTTATTAGAATTCAAATACTAACTTTTATAATTATATAAAGAATAGGTTATTATTAGTTAATTAAGTATATATATATTATTTATTAAAAACTATTTTTCTGTATTATTAATATTTTTTTTAAATATTTTAACCTATATGCTATATCATATATAATTATTTATATTTCTGTTATAAAGCAATGGGTTAATGTATATTTTAACTTTTTTTCAATTTCTTGTATTTATATTTTTTTTTTGTTATAATTAAGATTTAATAGTTAAAGTTAATATATATTGAATTAAAAGTAAACCTTTAATTTAAAAATTACAGTATATAATTGTTTTATAAAAATACCAAAAACAAATGTCTGAAATATTTATATAAATGTTATTTAATTTTAAAGTTAAAATTTGAGTTTACATTTAGTTATTAGATAATTATTGAAAATAAAAAATTTGAATCCTTCTATTTAGCTTTATTAATTATTTAACATTTTAGCTCTTTTACTAATGAACTCTGATATATTTTTTAGAATCAGAATTATATACTATAAATGCAAATAGTAATTTTCGAAATAATTTATTATTTTGATATAAACTTTAACTAAAAAAAAAAAAAGAAAAAAAAAAAAAAGTTTGATCAATATCTCAGCTATACCAACAATATATTTACAACATTCGTTATATTTTCATTTGGAATCTAAAAATATCTTTATTTAAATTTTATTTATTTACAGTATAATTTGTGAAGCCGTAGTTAAGAGTAAAGGATTTAAGTGAAAGAAAATTAAATTTTAAATTTTTATTATATACTGTATTATTTATATATTTATGCATTTTTATATCTGTCTTAAAAAAATATTAAATCTTTTAAATTCACGTCACCTTTTATAATAGCTATATATTTCATTGAAAGATAAAAAAAAAAGAATAAAAGAATAAAGGAATAGGAAGGGAAAAACGGGTTAGAAAAGAGTTATAATAATAATATATATATGTACATTGTAACTATTATTATATAAAATTCTATCTTAAAATTAACCCATTAATCACTTGCAGTGACAGAGGTAGCATTATTTATTTGGCATTTGAGCCAACCAATTTGGAGGACTGATTCCAGTTTGTTCTTGAATAGTTGACAAAAGTGGAGGTAAAGATTGAAAGATATTTGCTACAGGATTCGCGGAGGGTTCTTCATTCCCGGTATTCCAAACAGTAATTTTAGGATTAAGACCTTTGATGGCACTAGCGTTTTCTTTGGCCAATTGTTGGTAAACACCACGTTCAATCATGATATATTGAATAGCCGCATTACGATCACCGCCGAAGGCTTCCATTAAATTCTTTATACCTTGAGCTTGAGCGTTATAAACTGCTAATAGACCTTCTGCCTCTTTTTGTTTCTTATAAAGTTCAGCTTCGGCTTCTTTTTGCTTTTCATACAAACGCGCATTAGCGTTGGCTTTAGCTGCTTCGAATTCAGCTGTTGCCTTAGATACGTATTGTACCCGAAGACGTTCTGTTTCCGATAATAATCGACGCTCTTCAACTTCTTTTTGAAGTTCAGATTCACGAATCTTTGCCGCTTGTTCCGATTCAATGGCTGCGATCTTAGTGGCACGGTCAAATTCCGACTTTTTGGTGGCCAAATTCATGTTTGCTTGCGCCACGGATACCTGACGTTCATTTTCCACCAAAATTGTCTCCGATTCAATCTTTGAAGTTTCGCGACGCGTTAAACCTTCACGGTCCTTCGCGCCGACGTCACCACGATATTTCGCTTCGGCCACATCCACTTTTGCTTGATTCACGGCACCTTCATGCGTTTTCATTCGCTAGATTAATCAAAGCGGAAGGAGAAAGAACAAAAAATTTTTTTTTGGTAAATATTACGCGTAAAAATTATATATATATATATATTATTATTATGATGTTCAACAACGACACATACCATATAAGCAAAGTATTCGGAACCTTGAGTATCTTGAAGTTGTTTAACGTTAGCATTATAAATGAACAAGCCGAATTGATCCAATTCCGCTTGAACATTCTTAATGACCTGATCTTTGAATCCTTTCCTTTCCTGAAAAATCTCTTCCATAGTCATTGCGGCCGCAATAACTCTAGTTTCACCTTCAATAATACCACGAACCAATTCCTTCACGTGATCACTGTTCTTATCATTTGCCGCCAAAAGTTTTGCGTACCGCTCCAAAGATTTGTGCTCATCCTTTGGACCAATGGTAAATACTGCGGGAAGGTTGAATTCCAATTTTTCAGCACTCATCGCTTGTAATTGCAACGTGTAGTTCGCTGGAGTTATATCAAAGAACGTTGACCTTTGAACTGACGACAAAAGAGAGAGAGAGAGAGAGAGAGAGAGAGAGAGAGAGAATTATAGAGATTAGCGAATCATTCAAAGAAAGAGATTAGACAAATCGCTATGATGAAGAATCTCATAATTACATGGTAGTACCCATCCTTTTTTCTTGATGGAAACATCTTTGACAAGTGCACCAGTTTTAACCAAGTATTGGCTTGGGTCACTAGATAAAAAAAGGTAAAGAAAATATCTTAACAAACAACGAAAGGATAAGGAAAAAAACCCAATGATGATGATAAATATCATACCTAATTCTGTACATGATTGATGTGTGCGTGAGTTGAAAGGAAAATAATAAAAAAAAAAATGAAAATAACAACACTAGTGTTCCAAGGAAATCAATTAATGATGATTTCAATGTATAAACTCGAAATAAATTAGTAAATTGAAATTTGATAAAAAAAAAGCAAGGGAAAAAAGGTAAAATTTTATCTTGCGAAAAGAAGAGAAAATTTATATAAAAGATCTTTGACGATTATTCCCATATATGTTTATATTATGCTAATGATATGGATTAACTTTTGATCACACTGATCGATCACGCAGTTAGTAGATATATTTTGATAAATAATAACTTCATTAAATGAACAAAAAAAGTAGTTTCTGAAAGAATATTCAATATAAAAATTTTTTATTTTTTTATTCTATATAGAAACATAATGCAGAATTAATGAATTCTTTTTAAAATTTCTGCCTTCTTCGCTTAATAAATTTCGTGCGACATGCGTTTTTTTTACCTGATCAAGATTCCGGGATATCTTACTTCCATGTTTAAGTAAACATCGCGTGATGAACACGAAAGAAGCTAACGCGGGTGAAACAATGATATGAATTGTTAAATTGTTTAGATGTTTACAATAATAATTATTTTAATTTACATAATTTTATTATATTAATGGTAGTGCTATAATATTATTACATTAAGTTTATGTGAAGTTATTGTATATATTTATTTGTGATAATAATACAGGCAAATTTTACGCAAAAGAACATTCTCCGCAGTTTGTGGCAATTAATTGATTGTTAGACAAGTTGCAACTCGCATAACTTTTCTGACAAATATTATTCGGAACATCGCCGGTCAAGGAATTACCACTTAAAGATCTAAAAAAAGAGAATAAAATTAATTCATATATATATTTTTCATTTTTTCATAAATCTTATTTTAATACTTACAAATTATTTAGGTCCAAGGTGCCAAGTGATTCAGGAATGGCTCCAGACAACTGATTATTACTTAAATCCAATTCCTTTAAGGACTTCAAAGATATTTCACTGGGAATTGGGCCGCCCAATTGGGTATTATTAACGATTTTTAAACTTCTTAACGAAGTCATTTTACCCAAATTATTTGGAATGGGTCCAGTGAACCCAGTAGAAATTAAGCTCATCTCTTCTAAGTTTTCCAATTTAAAATAATTTGCGAGTAAAGCGCCGTTTGGAACTTTACCATCGCCAGTTATCGTTAACTTCTTCAATGTATTTAATTCGCCTATTACAGAAGTAATCGCTCTTGCAACGAATGGGAACGTTAACTTTAACTCAATAATATTTTTTGAATCGTCACATTTGACACCACCCCATCCACAATAGTTGCTATCTTTCATCCAATTGAGAGCCTCCATCCGTGTTTGATTAATCGAATTCAACCAGATGCTTTTTTAATACGCAGAATGAAGTTACGTTGTAAAATTGCATGCCGCTGTTCAAACATTGGTCGCAAGGGAACAACTTAAGAAGTTCCCCTGGAGATCCAAGAAGGGTCGAGCATACCACTGCTGAAGTGTTGTCTTCTTGTACCACCGTTGTTTCGTTTTGCAATGGTATGCGAGCATACATGATATCTAAAGCTATTAAATTGGCCATTATTGATGATAATAACATTATTATCATTATCCATAAAAAGATCGAACAGCAACTCCTTTTTTCTTTCTCTTTCTGCACCACCATATGCGTTGGTAACGAAGACGATGGATCCTTTGACTTTTTAGTTTTTTTACTCCACGGGAGATACGAAAATAACTTTATCAACCACATCTTAAATGGTTTTCTATTGGGAGGGGGGTTGTTCGTCTCACTGACTACCTTTTTTTTTCTTTTCAGCCTTTTATGATTCTCTTCTGTTTCACTATCTGATGAAAATGCTGAACTTTCAACCGTAATTTCACTTTCGTTCCTATTATGTCTGTTAAACGAATAACCAGCCTGCCGGTCAAATTCACCTTCTACTGTAATATTACTCCCTTCTGGAGTTGATGAAGTTCTTGGTGTAGAATTGTAAGGATTCAAAGTCATTCGGGGAACGAAGGGAAAATATAGTTTTTTCCAAAAAAAGAGAAAAAAAAAAAAAGGTAAAGAAATAATACCAGATTATTTATTTACTCACTATATTTTCACCAAGTCAGCATTGACGAGAATCCACCGCTTTTTATATCGGATTCTCCACAATACCTATGAACAATACATATATATAAATTTCTTTGTATATTATTCCTTTCTTTTGAAACCTTTATTTGGTGAAACGTTAATTAGGTTTGTCTAAATATAGTGAGTGGTCTGCATGGTCATGTAGCATGCTTTAAAACAGGGAATGACTAATTATTGTTAGGTGTTTAGTCTAATATTAGAATATAATACTGCGGGTCTTAGGAAAATTAATTCTCATTTAATCAATCAAATCAGGTGATAATTGAACTTTCGCCACATCCTATTCTAACTTTTTATATACTTGTAATAAATTATATTCTAGATGATGATTATCTAATCATAATTATTCAAAAGGCCGAAAAAAAAGTTTACATGTATCGGCCTAATTTTGTCGTATGACCTGTGGCACTACAAAGATTAAAAATTTTTTCGTTGAACCCGAAACAGGTGATGGATGCGAAGATCAACTTTTGTTCTTCTCTTTTGGAACATCCTTATTCACTGGAATCTTTTAGGAGCAAAATATTTAATTTTTAATAAAATCTTTGGTATCCAATGATATGAATATTAACATTTGTGGAAGTATAGGAAAAATTTGATCCGTTCAATATATCAAACGTGGCACAATTTGCCGTCAAAAGATTATTATTGAAAAGGAAATTTTTTATCTTCATACTTTTTTATAGTAATCTTTTTTATTATCCTTTCTACAATAAAGAAGCCACATGGTGATGTTACTGCGTCTCACTATAAATCCTTAAATCAAACAATTAAAGTATATTCATGCATTGTCATGATGTGAATAACAAACAAAGGTTTGATTTTATTTCAGGTTTCAAATCCCGAAACTGATTTCGGATCGCATACCCGTGGGAATAAATTCTTCGGACGGGTTATGGGCATCTGATAATTAGTAATTCTGAGTAATTATGATTGTAAAATGATTGTTTGATCAAGTGATTCGGAACACGACAAAAAAAAAAAAAAACTCTTTTCAATGCGTTTCCTTCCGCAATGGGTTGGTTTCTTCAATCGTAAGTATTGAGCCTATTTACTTTCTATTTCATGACATTTATCATTTACCCTATTTAATGAATGTAAGGTTTGCCAGGACGCTCCAGTCATCCATTACCTCCCGCGTATGGTCGTCTTTCAGATATAAAAACTTGGAAAGAAATAGCAGGTGTTTTGCTACCTTGGTCATAATTGAGTGACTTCGTTCCGTTAACTCGTACTCATATGCGTATTTTACGTTAGCCTGTACGGCTTCGCAAGATATGCAAAGAGAAGCATTCAGATATGTTATCCGCAAAAATTGGAACCTTTATTTGAGATTGCGAGAAAAGTGAAAGCAGTGACGGCTCCTTCCAAAAGGTATTCTACCGAGCATCTCCACAATGATTATGAGTCAACGTGGTGCGATTTGGACTTGGACCTCTTTATTGTCGTACATGGTTTATTATTGAAAGATTTGGGTCAACAGCAGTATGTTATGAACGTTGGCTTGTTAAAGTCCGCTTTACTAAGGCCAAAGTTCATGTTCTTTTACGATAAAACATCATTGTTTAAAATGGCTGCCGGACTCGGAGAAAGTATTATTAAGAATCATACATTTTTAGATGGGAATAAGAGAGCCGGTCATCTTGCTATTTCTACGTTTTTACTTCTTAATGGTTACGATTTAGTTGCGGATGAGGATTCTGCTGAGCATATTTTATTGGGTGTGGCGATGGGTAAAGTTAATATCGATACGCTAGAATCTTGGATCGCTAGTAATGTGAAAACTTGCGAATGAAATTCTTACTTTACAATGTATTTTAAAGTGGTTATATTCCCTTTTAAATAAAGAATGCCTTTGTCAACAAATGATTTGGACTGCTGAACTGGTCAGATATATTGTTCTGATCACCTTTGACGTTAGGCATTCGAAGATGCATTTCGTTCAGAATTATTTTGCTAACCTTGCTCTTTATCAATGATTCATCGTAAACTTTTTATAACGGGCACTAATTTAATACATAATTGTCCACCCTTCAAAAATAGTTCGGTTACTGAATAACAAATATATGTATTTCATTGATTTTATTTGTGACGATATAGTGTTGTACTGCGTATAGTAAGTTACCTGCCGTTCGTAGGCTCTTTTATTTACTGTCAACAAACGTATTTTTTTTGACGAAAATAAAATTTGTCCCACGCATGCCGGTCGGACCATTATAAGAAGTCAGATTTATAACTGGCAGAGATTATGCTGCGCTACTCAGCTGAGTAACTTCCTTGTGAGACAATTTTTTGTTGTAATATTTTATTTTTCGTTGTGAAATTTGTACAATATTTTTGAACAATATATGCACAAATTTAGGTGGATTGTGTCCGCATGTTTATTTAAGGCTGTTGATTGATTAAAAAAAGATGTGTATTTTTTTTTTTTTTTTCTCTCCTAAACCTTTTTTAAAATAGCCCTTTCCAATTTTGAAATGACGCTTCGGCCTCCAAAATCTTCATACAACCAAGCCAGTGAAAAGGTATGGTTCTCCTACGTACCAAACGCTACTAAATTTCAACATGGACTCCTAGGCATCAACGACTCATATGTAGCCGGCAACTTGCACCTCCAATTCCCCGAAAACGAACCCTTGAAAGCCAAACGAATCGAAGTATCTATCACGGGCACCGAATACGTCCATTGGACCGAACAAGTCGTCGAAAACGCATACAATTCTTCTACCAAATCGTATGAAGTTCGAACACGTACAATCCATTACATCCATGAACATCAAATTCTGAATCGATCGTTATTGTTGTGGCAAAATAAAGAGTTCTATCAAAAGATTACAAACATGAAATTTCCATTTAAGCTTCCATTACCTAACAATTTGCCACCATCGATGAATTTAAGTGACGGGATCGGTCAGATTAATTATGAAGTGAACGCTAAAATTAAGAGGAAGCGGAATTTTTGGAAGTTTAAAGGTTCAAAGAAATCGGTTAAATGTATGTGTTCGATCACCCGATATCGTTCAATGCCAGTACCGGCGTCTACTCGGTGGACCGAATGGGATGATCCGAAAGCTATAAAGCGTGGTTTAGGTTATGATATCACGGTGGATTATAACACTTTTGGACCTGGGAATCCTATTATCATAAATTTTGCCTTCAAATTCTTTAAAGTTCTAAAATTAAAAGAAGTATTTGCTGGATTAAAAGAGTATCACATATTTAAGGCTTCGGGGAATACGAAATTTATCAAAGGTTATGTGCTGGAAAGAAAGATATCGGATGATCAGATATCAATTAATTTGAACGCTCGTAATGAATGGTGGTATAATTTGAAGATTGAGGTGCCGGAGAATAAAGTTGGTTGGACTACTGATAGACATAATATTAAAGTGTATCATAAAATTAAAGTCAAGGTCAGGTTTGGATATTTGGGACCGAAAAATATTAATTTAGAAAAATTGGTCAATATAGAGAATATTATCAAAGAATAGTTTATTAAATGAATATATTTGTAGATGTTGACCTTTTTTTCTACATCCTACGGGAAAGCCAAGGTCCCCCTGAAATCATTGATACACGGGAACCAATAAAAAAAACATTTCTTTTATAGTTTTTACAGGAAAAAAACGAAACCATGGATGACTATAAAGGTACTGTAATATAAAATGAAGGTATAATTAACTATTTTAATAAAGTTGTATATACTTTTTTACTCTTAAAATTTGATGAATTTATTAATATCAAAAACTTTAATAATAATTTTCAACACTATATATATATATATATTTCTGAAAAAGTTGATAAACTATTGATTTAGTTTAGTAGTTTAAACAACAAAGTATTTTAAATAATTTATTAAATGTAAAAATTAACTATATATTTTATTATTAAACTTAGACCAAAATTAAATAAAAAAATTTATAAATTGTTTAATTTAAAAATATTATAACTTGATAAATTAAATAAAAATATCAAATATTTAAAATACAAAAAATTAATTATACTTATTATTATTCCTTCAACTGTTTGCCTACAAATTTGTAAGCAATTTTATTTATTAACTACAATCATTTTTAATTATTTTTAAATATTTTAAAATATATTATTAAAAAAATTAATACTTTTACAATAAATTTTATGATGTTTTTTAAATAAAAATTATAAGATAAATATATAATAAATTATTATAAAAAAAATTAAAATTTTAAATCATATATCTTGCTATTTATCAATCTCAGAAATATAAAAATATTACTATTTAATAAATCTTAATGTGATAAATCCAATAAACTAAATTTTATATTTTTTGTAATTATTTTTTTTTAAAGATGTGGTAATACTAATATTTATTGTAAAAAATTCAAATCCAGTAAATTAATACATGAAAATTCTGAAAACCAGATACAAAAGTAAAAAAAAATAAATTGAACTACTTAAAATATTTTTGCAAGCTTAAAATTTTGCTAGTTTCAGACCAACCAGTCATCTTACTATACTCAGTAGATAATTATTATAGAGTTCCTCTCAATATATGATCACTAAATTATTATTACGCTTCTCTCTTTTTTTAATAATAATTCCTATCCTAAATTTAAATTTAATACAAAAATAAGTAACTCAAATTATTATTAAATCAAAAAAAAAGCTAATAAAAATCCAACTCCAACAAGCTAAGTTTTCTGGTTAATTCCTAGTTACAGTGATCTTATAATACAAAAGTGTCTATATCATTAAGTTCATTAGAGACTCTTTGATATTCTCAAACTTTTATATTAAGATATTTATCAATTCTGATTACAGTTACCAGTAGACATACACAGAGTTTAAATCTACAGTTATGAAAAATTAAAAAATTCTGCTAAAATTAGCAGGCTTTATGACATTAGAGATTTAAAAAAATTGTAATTGTTTATAAAAGTAATAGAAAAAGTTATCACATACAATTGATAATCTAAAGTTATTATTGATTTTGATCATTATTTAAAATACTTCTGATACCTACTTTTATAAATAAAAAAGAAAATAAAAAATATAAGAAAAAAGCTAAGAGAAGTGATGAAAAAAATATTTAACAAAAAATCATTATTATTTAAACTAGCAAAAACTGTTTTTTGGAATAAGAGAATTTAAAAAAAATAAAGATAAATAGAAGTTTATAAAAGAAGTTTTTGTTTTTATTTATAAGTTAACTTTTGAATATACTTAAAAATTATTGGTTGAGTTAAAAAGAATTATATTTTTGTAATTATTAAATAATAAATTATTTTTAAAAATTAAAAAATTAAAAAATTAATATATATTAATAATTATGA